ACCCACAGGTGGAACAGCCGTGCTGTGAGCCTGGAGTGGGGCTTAGGGTGGACTGCGGACAGAGTACAAGCTAACAATGTGGGGCAGGAACACAAGGGCCGGTCTCCCCCAGGGGGATTAACACGAGAGGTCACATGTGAGAGTCGGGAGGTGACTGGCTGGCTGGGCTCACAGGCTGTGTCCAGCTCTGGCACCCTGCACACTGAGGAGACAGGCCTTGTCTGGGGCCATGGCTCCTCTGTAGGGGGCTGAGCTGCTTGGGGGTCCCACAGCTCTAGAGTCAGGGCAACACAGGGGCCAGGCTGGGCCATTGCAAGCTGGGAAGCTCCTTGGGCCCTGGAGTCATGGGGGTACCCCCCACTTCAGGCTGGAAGCCCAGTGGGGAGATCCCCCCATAGTTGGGGGTCAGGGGCTGAGAGCCCTGTCCTCTCTCACTTCCCACTTCTGTTCCAGGGGCTTCTCGGAGCGGCTGCCCCACCTGCGGTTGCTCCCCGGGGCTGTGGGTAAGGAAGGGGCTGCCCCCAGCTCAGGACTCCCAAACCTCTCGGCCCCCCAGCCCTGTCAGCCCCGGCGCCACATCGTCTTCCTGAAGACGCACAAGACAGGCAGCAGCACCATCGTGAACCTGTTGCACCGGTTCGGGGAGAGCCACGGCCTGCGCTTCGCCCTGCCCCCCCGCTACCAGCTTGGGTACCCCCAGCCTTTCCAGGCCCGGCGGGTGAAGGGCTACCGGCCTGGGGGTCCTACATTTGACATCCTATGCCATCACATGCGCTTCAACCTGCCTGAGGTGTGGCAGGGTGGAATCTTGGGCTGGTGGCTATGCATTGGTGGGGACCCCGGAGGGACCAGAAGAGCCTGGGAGAGAAGACAGAGCAGAGGGCACAGGAGGGAGAAGATGGAGGGCCACAGGGGTGCTGTAATTTAAGGTGTAGCCGGGAGAGCTGGAGGGCTCTGAGGGATGAGCATGGCAGCCCTGGGAGGATGGGTAGGGTTACCAGATGGTTTGAAAAAAATACTGGACACACTTGATCTCAGATTGGGGGTGGGGGAGACTGGCCAGGAGGGGAGCGGGGCTGGCCAGGAGAGATCGGG